TGTCATAAGACTGCGACTTTACTAAGTACAAATTATATTTTAAACTAAAAGATGTTTGTCTTGGTTTTATTAGGTCAAAAACTGTTAGTTACCCTAAAGTTTTTAAACTTGGGCTTCATAAACAAAAGTCCACCAGCAGCACTCCTCTTAAGGCATTCTTTGTGTTTATTTTGATACTATGTTGAAGCGCTAAGCGAATAAAGTTAGATTGATCTTTTTCCCTTAACTTATGGTTTTATAATCCAAAAGTAATTTGATATAAACAATAAATTTGTATGCACACTGTCCAAAGAATAATTTTTTTAATTTCTCCTGAAAGAGTTCTGTTTTGCGTAGTAGCTTAGCGGAACAGTTAAGAGAATGAGGCTAAATTTTTTTTTTTAGACTACATGAATACATAAGCGGAGCGAGTTGTATGAAAGAGTGCGGACTCAAGAGTTGAGAAATCCTCATTCCCCGTTCACCAGGCGATAGTAGTCGAACTGTACTTTTCTTTGATTCTATGATACACCAAATAGCGGTTTGCCCACCACATTGAGCTGCACGACTCTTCAAACAGTCGTTATGCCCGTTTTATGTATTGGGAACGTTACTATCTAAAATTAAGAAGTGTCTAAAGTTTACGCAAGAAACGGCCAGACTTGTCATAGTGTGCGATACAGTTGACGCTTGACAGTTAGTGTATTTATTATCTGGTTCTCATGGCAATCGAAGCATTTGAATGTAGTCGGTTCGCCTGCCAGACTTGCTCAGAGGACATTGATGCAAAAAATCGTGAGCTCTCAAAATCACCACGCCTCGTTGGCGAGACTGAGACAACTCCACACTAAATTTTCCATTGTTTACTTAATTAAAAGGGATCGTTAATTCTAGCATGTATTGAAGTGCACCAATAAGCCTAAAAGATGTTCGAATGCAGAGAAACTCTCAAGTTAATAGCAATCAGACTTAAGCCCATGTCTTTTAAAAACTTAAATCTTAATGAAGTTTAAAATTTGTGTCCATATACAAAAATTTACAGTTTACTACTTAAAGAGGGGATCATCCTATATTTCTACCTTACTGAATTCTTCCTGGAGAAAAGTTGAGTCCCAACGCCATTTTATATTGCAATGTGTTCGACTTATCAAGCTTTTAAGAAATCCGACCCTCAGTCCGCACAAAAGAAGGCGAGTAGTAGGGCGACTATTTAGTGTATATCTTTAATTAGTTAAGTAGTGAACTGTATCGCCACAAACATATTTTCTTAAAATTCTGTGCTCTTCAAAAAAAAGGGTGGAAACTTTTCACATAACCTAATAATTTTTTTATTACAATCGTCTATTAAATTAATTTTTTATGATAAAAAATTTCATTTATGGCCCATGCTAACCGCGAAATAGGTTAATTTTCATATTTTTTTAACAAATATATTGATCAAGTGATTAAATTATAGAGCTTTCTTCTAAGTAAGCTATTAAAAAATACTACTTGCATAACTAATCTAATAAGTTGAGTACACCATAACCAGTTTTGATTATAAATCTTTACTTTTATTCTGTTCAATGAACTTTAATATTCTTCCTTAAGCTAAAGCAAGCCACTATGACAGTTTTGTTAACTTACAATTTACATCACTTTACTCGAAAATGGCCTTTAATACAAAAATAATACAGAGAGCTCCGTATATAAATAAAAAAATACTAACATAAAGCCTGCAAAGTAATGTACTTTTACAAAAAAAAGTTATTCATAATTTTATTAAAAGAGCTATGAAACAAAATAATGAAATTTAATCAGCCAAAAGAATTATGTAAAACTTCGGTACTAGAACAGCGCTGAGACCAAACTTTTATGGAACGCTCCTGTACAACCTATAACATCAGAGTTAAAAGTAACCTGAAAATTAAAAACTCCTAAACAAAATGCTTATAGTAAAATAATAATAACTAAATTAAAATTCCAAAAAACGAAATAAAACCTGTTCAGCCGCTAAATCGCTCTTAAGCATTCGTAACTTTTGTAAGGATGACTGATAGGCCTCGACAACATCATCGTTGTCTCGGTCCTCCAACTTCTGCGTCCTTAGTTCGTTAACCTAATAAGTTAATATACCTAATTAACAATTACAAAGATAATTTATTTACTAGTAAAAAAAAGAAAAAAACCTCTTTTTCTGCCTCAGCTATACAATCTACGATGCACCATTCTCTAAATTTATGAGCTTCTGCGAGCTGAATAAAATATTAATACCTTTACCCTTATGCTAGGTAAAAAGTATAACAGAGCTCAATTTACCCCAAACAAAATATTAAAACCTTTATCCTGAACGATTCACATAACTCTCGCTTTTTTTCGATGGAGCACTGATTCTTGAAGGTGTCAGTGGGGATGGTGGTATTTAATTTTTGAACTATTAAATCGTCTAGTCTCCTAAGATTTTTAAGGGATTGTTTAAAAACGTTGTAATCTTTGCAAGATATACGTTCCGACTGGGTCATTCCAATATTTGCAAATTTTAACAAAATATACAAGTTTAGCTAGCCCAAACGTACAAACCCAGTGACCCAGAAAAAATAACCGTTGCATGAGGCCACGTGCTATACCTGGGGGGAAGGATTCAGTTTACGGCTGTTCTACGATTGCGAGTTCGGGTGTAAGTCTAAAGCAGTTTGTGTTGTTATGCAAGCATCACAATATTTTAATTTTATGCTTAATTAGACTACGTAGAAAGTTCCAACCCTATCATAGTTTATTTATTAACTTTATAATAACAGTGTAGTTTTACAAAGTTATACATTGTATTTAAGTTTAAATTCAGAAAGCAGTAAGATAGTTTTGTTAACAAGAAAACGCTTTAGGTCACAGATTATTAAGGCCGTGCAAAAGCATTATTATTATAGTAATAAAGCTCATCCAGTACGTGCCAAAAAGCTTTTTAAACCTACACTTTCTTAAATTTGAACATTAAATGTTACCTGATACAAAGGAAGCTATCACAGTAATTAAGTATTTTTTTTACCCTTGAAATGGTTAATTATAAGGAGGGTTCCTTGTTTGTTTCGTGAAAATTTTAATAAAAGTTATAACTGATTCAGAGAAGTGTCAAGAGTTTCGAGCTTTCACTTTATAATTAGGTTATGACTATTTAGAAGTACAATTTTTACAATTTTCGTTTCCCAAATGAAAGCAGCAAGGGCTAATAATGTTAAACTTCTACTAATTTTAACTTTTTTACATGAAATCTGTTTATAGAAATCCTCAGCCTTTCTTAACGTGATAGTGGTGCTAAAAAATTTTATACTCTACGTTATTTTTATCTACTGCTTTCGCTGTTATTTTACTACAATAGCCTTGATAATGAGCCTACCATTCGAAATAGTCACTAGTACTTAGGTGGTTTATCAATATTGTTATTTAAATTGATAGTAACACGTAATAACATATTATTCTTATTCTAAAAACTTATCTAAATATAAAAATATTTCAAGTACCTAATTACATAAAATTATAATATTATTAACATTTAGGGTAGTTCCTAGTGCTCCATCTGGTTAAAAACACCGAAGTTACGAGCTCTTAACAAGGCGATAACGTCCGCCCCTCCGTGGCTTGTAATAGATCTCTTTAGCCAGTAACTGGTTAATATACCTATAAGACCGGTCTAGGTGATGAGGTCATAGTGTGGATAAAGGTTGTGAGGGGTTCAAAATTGAGGTTTCAATATAAAGCATCGTGTAAATCAACCACGGCGTACCCGATGTGTGGCGTAGAAGTATCTTTTATTTCACTTAAGCGAAAAGACTATCACCGGTGAGTTCGTAAGCCCAGGTAGCAGAAGCGTATGTTATGACTGGCCGGATACCAACACATGCAAGCATCACTTTTGTGTAACGACAGCCTCTTCTGGCACAACGTAAAAGATAAATAATTTAAGCAGCCGTTTTTTACTTTGCCACAACAAAGTTTACGTACAGCCTTTGAGAAAACTTTTATTAATGATACCCATATATTTCACCTTGGAGCCCCAAGAGAGGCGATTTGTGGCGCAGCGAGGCCAGATATTACGTGATCATCAGAGACCGAAAAAAGAGTCGCGTCGGTCGGAATCGAACCTCAGACCTTGAGTATGCTGCGTCGATGCTCTTAATCGCTGAGCTTCTGCAATAACTTCGATTCCGTTATGGTGTTTTTACGTATATATGACATGTTGTACCTCCATGTTAATAACCACCAGGTCGGTTATTTAGCCGAATCCTAGGTGCTCTTTCATTAAGCCCAAGCAGATCGCGTGCTTACAAAGCATTAGAATTCATGAGGATGAGGTTATATACGAGACCATCAAAGATTGGAAAAGAGAGACGCGTCGGTGGGAATCAAACCCATGACCTTGAGTTCACGCGTCAATATTCTTAACCATGAGCTACACCGACAACTCTCGATCAGGTATGATATTTTTACGTAGTTAACCTATTAAGTGTGCTACTTCGTGATAAAAGGGGCCTTGGTTTTTTCTGTATTAATAGTAACTTTCAACGACGACACCAGTTGGCTAGCTTCGTTAGGTGGCATTACGGATTTGCCGCACAGGCCGGCGACTTTGACAAAGAGTAATTGCCGTATAATATCCATATAAAACAATATATGTAGGTGGGGGTTGATGGGCTATGTCACGTGAAGCACTTAAAGAATAAAGAAAAGCTGAAGATAAGGGGTCTTGCGGGAGTACCGCTCTTAGTAGATTTAAAGGTTTGCGCGCATCGCCCACAAATGTATTGAAGAAAATGTTTTTCAATATTTGAGCACGGTAAAAAGGACAGTAGAGAGGGTTATGGCGTGCAATTTGCGAAGCAAGCCCTTGTGACAAACTAGATTTTAAGCTTTTTCAAAATTAAAAAAAAGGCGAATGTTGCCTTTTTATAATTTAAGTCAAGAATTGTCCACTCTGTCAGACAAATGCTGTTGCGTCGTTATATGCCCTTGCCTAGACCTCTGGCAGGGCATGACTTGCGCGACAAACTCTATTAAGCGGCGCAGTATGGGGCCTCAGCTACTTTGCCAACTACTGAAAAATGAGCTGATAGGCCTATGTTTGTTTAGCGTAGAGGCCGGTCGTGGTTCTTCCAAATAGCATCACAGTAGTCGTTTTTGGTAACAGCTGGTAAGGAGCCCGAAGGCAACCATCGAGTTGACGAGGCAACCGTCACCATTAGCATTTGCATCACTTTAAACTGGTGATACCCTGGGGGCCGAGGGCCTTCCGTTTCGGTGGAGTGTTAATAATCTTAATGTCGACTTTGATGGTTGGCTTAAACTGCTCTTCAGTATCAGAAAGGAAGTTCAATTCACAAAGCATCTTGTCACATTTATCCGGGCTGCCTTCACCGTAGCCCGAATTTTATTAAAAAAACTGGGGGATACAGTCATCTATGCACTATGAAGTACTGCCTATATAATTCGCTGGACGATTACATTCAGTCACCCAGTCTATTGTTATAAATACACATTTACGCTATCAGAGTTGGATATTGATGCCGCAGTCTTTGCCTAGAAGCATTTCCACTCTGCTTAAACTAATAAGTATTCTAGGCCTTTTTACCTAGGGATGTCCACTTTCATTAAACAAATGTTAAAACAAAAAAGTCTATAAAATAATTAAATTACAAGTTCAAATAAATATTAGAAAAATGACTAAGAATATCGCGGAGTTTTCATCATGGAAATTTTTAAGTTCTTTTAATCACACCATCTAAATATTATGATGACAGCATTAAAAACTCCGCTAGAGATAAATTTATTATGTTTACGCAATATTATTCTTGTTTTCTGAAATATTTACAATTACTCCTCCTCACTAAAACTTGTAGCCATTGCTGTGCCTAATGTTGTATCAAAAATGAAATTACATTAAGTATTTGAACCCTGCTTAGCATAAAAAACTGTGGAGCTAACGGTATATTTAGTCGTGAGACATTATTATTAAAGCTATTATTTTTACCGACCACCTGGCTCTTCAACTCGATATTCATTAAAATCAACTTTTTGAATTTAAAAATGCGCTGATGTCGTTTTATACCCATTCTTATAACTAGAAAACACCCTCATCTGTAAAGGTTGCGGAGGCCCTGATAGATACGAGTTTAAACAAAGGATGAGATGGAAAGGTACTATTTCAGTGTGATCAACTTAAGTGCCGTGGTAAGCCCTTCAAAATGCACCATATTCTAAGACTTTGAAGCTACAACTAGGGCTTATAACAATATGAACACCAACGCTGTTGTATTCTTTAATCTCGGAAACGCTTCAGTGAAGTGTGACAGCGCGGGCTATTTATTAAAAAAATCGAGGTTCAGGTTCGAATATCTTTAAGATAAATTATTAAATATTGTTTATTAAATAAAAAATTTACCGTCTAAATTTAACCGGTTATCTCAAAAATTAAGGGTGTAAATATTTGTTTAATAAAAATTACTTCCATTTATGCTAGTTTTTACAGTTAAAAGGAGTGCCCAAATCTAAGAGGCGAGAGATAAACTATATTCTCTAGCTCTATATACACTGTTCTGGCTATATAACTCTAACATACCTATTTGTACATTGGAAAAAATTAGTTTTCGTGAAGCCCTAATAAAGGTTTACATTGAGGTGGCGCTCTCATGTTAAATACTTGAGAGTAATTATTAACCCGAAAATATTAAAGAGGCTCTATTAATTATTTTATAAAAAGGGAGAATACTGCTAAAAATGTATTATAACCATTGTTAGTAAACTAAGTAATTTAAACTTAAACAAACTGCTCATAATAATTCGTTCATTTGTTGCATAACCACGGATGCCTGGTGGTTCGTGCGTGATACTCAATAGCAGCATGTTGGCTGCCCTTTTGGTGTCAACCAATTATTCATTCATTATAATAGAGATCAAAAGCTAAAGAAATACAGTGGCGTTCAGGTAGTCACCAAGCCGCTGTTGTTCTTACTTTTAATGTGGGCCGGTACAATACTTATATAAGACCTAGCGGCTGCTTGAATCGCTTCCAGTGAGCCCCTATTTTCACCATGAATATTTGTAAAGTTAGTTTTACATAGTAAAATAACAGAAAAGTATACGTAATTTTTTATGTTATCTTATAGATTGATTTATTTATAACTCCTTTGCCGAGTACTTGCTTATAGCCGGTAAGCAGACAACGAAATTCTTGGCCCTTCGAAGCGGTACAAAGATAATAATTTGATTTAATTTTCTTAGTATGTCAAACTATCTAATAGCTTTGCACTTAGTCAGACAAGGGTTCGTGGCTGTAAGTATAACTTACATAATCTCCCAGCAAAATTACTCACTTTTAAAAGTTGACGTTCTTCTTGTAAATGACTCTCCAGTCCTTTACATGCAAAATTAAACTAATAATACGCTTCTATACACAGCTGGGTTTTAATACTGAAACGTTTCCTCTTTATGGGCTAGACTGAGCACGTAAACTGAAAGTCTTTGTGCCGCACTCTAAATGTTGCTCTTTAAAAG